TTTCTGTTTTTCAACTTTTATTTCCCTATACCTGGTTTTCCTCCCTTTTTTATACTCATTGTACTATATTTGTACCTTTATCTATTAGATGCCTTAAATTCTTTTGAAACAAGTTGAAAATAGGTAAGTTATCATGATACCCTTGTAATTACCTAGTTATTAATAACAGGAAAAGAGCAAAGGGAAATAACCCTCTCCCACCATTGAGACAGGGAAGGCATGTTCCCTGCAAAACACTGGGGGAAAGGAGGGGACTGGATAAAGGAAAGATAGCTGCCTGTCCAGTAAAGTTTGGGTGACTAGGGAAGCTGAGGTCTGTCAGTCACACCTGCGAGCAGAGGTCATTGGCCAGATGGGCATGGCCACTGCAAGTCCATGAAGATCTGGGATGCACTCCTACACAAAGGAGGCCGCTTTCTTAGTGCCCCTTGTGTGTTGCACTTGACTCCTGGCTTGTGGGGCTCTTTTGCTCCTGCTCCCTTGCATTGTGTGTGGACCCAGCTCCAATATGGAAAGGAAACAAGTTTTGCTGTTAGCTTTACTGAAACTCGAGCTACACGTCTATGACTGGACTGAGGGAAATGAGGTATAATTCCATGAAAATAAAGCTTTCTACCATATCTCATTCTCTCATGGGGCCTCTGGAAATGCTTCTTACAGTGGTACTCCAAGAACCCACCTCCCACTAGCAGGGAGAAGAAGAGGCACTTCTTTCTCTGATAACAATCACTCTGGAAACTTGGGTTATTGGTAGGGTGAGTGTGGATTACTGCCTTAGGTATGTGTGGCCAGCCCAAACTCCTCAAAAGAGCTTTAGAAGCACACTCTGAGCCAATCTCAGCATACTGCCCCAGGCTATGCACCAAAAAAAACAAAACAAAAGCCAGCTATTCAGTCAACACCTGAGCTTCTGTGAGGAGCTCTGGTGAGAAACCAGCAAACAGATAATGGCACTCCCTTTCACCTCTGGACAAAGACTGATAAAAAAGCTCCCCAAGGCCTCCAGAGTGTTAGACAGAGGGCCCGCATTTGATCTGTTTCAATATTTTAACAAATAATTGTAGTAAAGGAAATATATGTTTGCACTGATATAAATGCAAATAATGTTAATGATTCAAGGGTTCATATCTAAGAGCACGAGTTCAGTTATGGAATTAAATATGTTTATCCTAACTTTCAAACAAAGGCTTGAAATAATACATTAGCACTTCAGTCTGATTAGATGCAACATTATTTTTGCATTCAATCCAACATTGGCTATAGAGTGTCAGAAAAACAACATAACCTGATAGGTGAAATTAATATTAATTTCATTTTTATTGTCTTATAGAATTTTAGAATTAAATTTATAAATGCATTTTAGTTAACATTTATATTAAAAAACAGCATAAGAAATTTATTTCTAGTTTTACATTTGTAAGTACACAAAATAATGAAGTTTATACTTTAGAACTAGAAGTCTGTGGGAATTTTTTTTTTTGCTATAAAGGAAAAAGGAGAACTCATTCTTAAAAATTACTTCCATTTAAAATATGGGATTTTGGAGGCCAAAATGTCTTTTTAAGAGTTCAAGAAAGATATCCCGAGTTTAGAATACAGCTACTGTAATAGGTCGTGAAGAAGATTTCTGTCATGTCAATCATAAGCAAAGTGTGGCTTATGGGGTCCCCCCTACCTAGTATCATAGCACACAAGTCTCAACAGTGGGAGAGGGGAGAAAGTGTGTGTGTGTGCGTGTGTGTAAAACTGGTAGAAATGACACAGTGCAGAATATGCAAATACTTTTTATTAGCTATTTAATGCGAGCAAGCAAAAGAAGTATATTTTTTATATACTAACAAAAAATTCTTCAACACAAAAGTTAAAAGTAAACTGGTAACACCACTATCACCATTTCAGATTATGCACAGCCTTTCCTCCCATTCAGGTTATGCAATGTCTCTAAGGTATATTCCTGTGGACACAACAATCTTTCCTAAGGATGAATCAGCTGAAACTCCTCAAAAGAATTTGGGAAGTCGAAGATTAATAACCAGAACTACCACACAGTGTTATCCATACCACCCACATCAAACAAGGTGATTTAGGCCTCAAGGTAGATTCATAAATATTCATTTTTTATTTCAGTCTCTGCTATTTGGTGATACTGTCATCAATGACATATAATTAACTTTCCACTTCACATTGGGATATGCTTGCTAAAATCTAATTATCTGTCTGTTTCTTTTTCTCCCTTTATTTAAGCCATCTCATGAGGATAAAATATTTAGTTTGGTTTTAACAAACAACTGCATTTGTTGTTTAAAAACTCTAATAACGGCTTTTTTTAAGTGTTCCTATTGCTACAATTACTACTTAATTTTGAATTCAGGGTGTGTTTTTGTATTTGGCAGTTACATTTATTACATTTTTCCCCATTCTATTGAATCTAATGAATAAGCTTTGGCATTTTTTTTAAATCTTGGTGCTATGTTTTAAATGTAATTTTTTAGTCTGTCATTGAATAGAAAAAAATTAGTAATTTCTTTTTCCTGGAGGAAATGTAGTAATGTGCTTAATAGTGAAGACTGCAGGCTTTGAACTGGTTTCAAATACTAGCCTCACTGTGAGATCAGGAGAATGTTGCTTACTTTCAAGCCTTAATTTTCCTTACTTTTTCAATGGTAATGATGATAGTGCCCACTTCATGGTATTGTGAGGATGATACACTCACACAAAAACACTTAGCACAGTGCTGTGTGCAATTTGTCTTATTCTTATTTCCAAATCCACAAGAAATTAAAATGTTTGGAGAGATAAAGTATGAGGAGATCAGGTACAAATCAACACCTAGATTCCTATGTTCTGGAAGAACAACAGAAGTGTACACAACATAAAACAAAACATTTCCAAGCCATTTGCGTGACTTTGAGAATGTAGCCTGTGATTTCACCACCAGTGATTTCAGTTCCTCAATTTATATTTCCAAAACACACTGAGAGGCAAGAGTAGCTTCTGGACCCAGGAGAAGAGACAACCCACTTTTCTTTATCATTATTATTAAAGGATCCATGCTTTTCTCACAGAGCACACGATTCACATAACAAACTGAAAGTCAGTAAATGTGTGAGGAATAGCATTTTCTCTGACCTTTGTCAGGGCCAATTTATCTGCGTGTCTTCATGACAAGAGAGAAAAATGGTGTGAAATAAATTTAAGCCCTGGATCTTGTTCCAGATATTACCTTTAAAAATGAAGGCATAATGATCGTAATTTTAACTATTGCAATAATAACTGTTAAGTTTTATCTCAATCCTTACCTAGTAATTCTTCAAATTTTCTATTTAAAATGGGTTCCCTCAAGAATGGTAGTTAAAATAAAAAGTCACATTTTAATTATGGAATCCAAAGAAAACTCCAAAAAAAAAAGATAATAGAAATCATGTCAATCAAAATGAGATGGATAATTTATCCAAAGGCACATATCTTCATAGAAATGTGGTTTTAGAGAAAATATTACACAAACTAAAAAGCCAACCAAAACTATTCAGTTTAAAAAGACAATAGCTCTCAAATCGCCACTGAATATTTTCTTCCTTTAATTAAAATTAACTCCTAAAACCAAAGTAATGTAAGGGTATTATTGCAAATACCAGAAAATTTAGATGCATTTACTTTTCATTAGTAGCCTAATATGTAAATTAAAGAGGAGGATGAACACCACCTTAATCATCAGAGTTAAATAGTTTATCTAAATAGCTTAAGTCAACACTCCATCCCCAAGGGAATTGGACTATAGCTTCATGCAAAGATGCCCACTTGAACATCACTCCACATTTGGACATGCCCATTTTTGCCCCCACTCCCATCCAGCTCATCCCTCCTGTTTAAATGCCCCAAAGCATGGTTATAGAGAACCTGCAGCAGCAGCCCTGGACCCAGGTCCAGCAGGCCTGAGTTCTCCTCCCAGCTCTGCCCAGGAAATTGCTATACATTCCTTGTGCCTCAACATCCTTACCTGGAAAATGGTCCAGTTGGACTAGCTGATCTGCAAGGTAGAGTAGTGGACACTTCCCACCCTTAAAATATGTGAAAAGCAGATTTGATGCCAAAGATGTATTTTTACAATACTGTTTTAAAATACAAGTATTTGGTACCTGCCTGTTCGTGAAAAAACAAACAACATATCATTTGACTTGAGGTATTAAAACAAACAAAATGTTAAAGTCATCTGTCAGAAGAACAGTTACTATTCTAGTTGTTTGTGCTTCAAGTAAATAGTATAATTTAGTTGTTAAGTGTAAATGTTTCTCCTTATTTGGAAAAAAGTCAAAATGAAGCATTTCCCCAATATTAAGGAAGACATTCTGACTAATCAGGTTGTTAAGCTACCAAATAAGAAAACTGCACATCTAAGTTTTTAAGCACACAGAGAAAACCTATACAAGATAGCTACATTGGCCCAGCCAGTGTGGCTCAGTAGTTGAGCATGGACCCATGAACCAAGAGGTTTGATTCCTGATCAGGGCACATGCCCAGGTTTGAGTTTCAGCTAGGTCCCCAGTGGGAGCATGCATGAGGCAGCCGATTGATGTTTCTCTCTCTCTATCCCTCTCCATTCCCCTCTCTCTAAAAACCAATAAAACCATAGTTGCTGAAAAACTTGTAAGGTTAAAAAAACAATAGGTAGCTATACTATTGCCCATGTATTCTATAGCTGTTCTATGAAATAGAATAAAAACTCCCAAAGTGTGTGGAAGGGAAGAGGAGGACTAGGATATGCAATTTTAAAACTACTTTCAAACTAATGCAATTTTAGTTCTTTTAAAAGTAATAATTTTCATATTTTTTCCAAACTTCACATCTCAGTCGTCTTTACCTTCTTTTACTCTAATTCCCAGATACACACTCTCCCTCTCATCCTCCCAGCCTTTCCTTTCTGCCCCCCTCTCCTCCCCAGGTGCACTCCCCGCCCCCCTCCACCACTTTTCAGACCGCCCCACGGATACCTGTTCCCTTACCTGTCGGCGCTGAGGGCGGTGAGCGTGAACACGGACACCCCCACGGAGGTGAGCTGGATGACCGGGATCAGTTTGCAGCCCACCTTCCCGAACATCCACTCGTCAAAGAAGTAGCGCGAGGCATCCACCGGGACGCAGGTGAGCAGCAGCAGCACGTCCCCGGCGACCAGGTTGGAGATGAAGATGTTGGGGGCGCTCCTCATGGCGCTGTTGGTGATGAAGATCTTCACCAGCACGATGTTGCCCAGCAAGCCCACCGTGATGATGAGCAGGTAGAGGGACGGGATCACGCAGCGGATCACCAGCTCCGCGGTGGTCCCCGGGGAGGCGGGCAGGAAATCCCCGTCCAACAGCCCCGGAAAGAACCCGCTCTGATTCTGGCCGGCGGGCTGGGAGAGGTTGCAAAGAGACCTGGGGGGCATGGTCTTCTTTGCAGGAGCGCGCGCTGGAGTCTTCGTGCGCGCAGGTGCCCTGAAAAGTGGATTTCCGTGACAAGTTTACAGCCTGTGGGGAACGCGTCACACTGCGCGTCCCGGAGGGGACGGGCGTGTGAGAAATCTGTCCACACTCTCCTACGCTTCTAGAAGAGGCACATTGGCTCCGAATTTAAAAAAAAAAAAAGCAAAGCAAAGCAATTTGCGTCTTTGTTTCAGTCTCCACTGGAGAAAGGCTCTTTGGTGAACAGAGATGCGTCCCTCTGGGATTACTAAAAGTACCTGCCTGCAGGGTCTGTGGGAGGGGAGGAAGTCATCCTGTCGCTGTCCAGCGAACCGCGGCTGAATCACTGGGAACTAGCGCGGGGCGGCTGGTACTCTGCTTATCCCACGGCTTCGCTCTTGTTTTCGCAGTTCCTATTGTATTGTGTGGGATTGGAGGGGATCTGAGAGCTCTCTGTCTCACAGTGTGTCCCTACACCCATCCATCAATACCAGCCTCAGAGCTGGAGGAGCCCCAGCCAGAAGTTTGTGAACCTCTAAGGATTTGGGAGGCTAGCAAGTGTCTGATGCTGTAACAGTGAATTTAGAGAAGAGAGTGAGTGACAAAGGATGAAGTAAATGAATGAAATTCTCTCCCCACCTTTTCTTTTTTTTCAATCTTTAATTTCTTTATTGATTAAGGTATTACATATGTGACCTCATTCTCCCCATAACCCCCCTTCCCCCCCCCCACACACGCATGCCCTCACCCCCCTGTTGTCTGTGTCTATTGGTTGGGCTTATATGCATATATACAAGTCCTTTGGTTGATCTCTCCCGCTTACCCCCACCCTCCCCTACTTTCCCTCTGAGGTTTGACAGTCTTATCGCTGCTTCTCTGTCTCTGGATCTATCCCTGTTCGTCAGCCTATGTTGTTCACCATATTCCACAAATGAGTGAGATCATGTGGATTTATCTTTCTCTGACTGGCTTATTTCACTTAGCATAATGCTCTCCAGTTCCATCCATGCTGTTGCAAATGGTAAGAACTCCTTTTTTTACCACAGCGTAGTATTCCATTGTGTATATGTACCACAGTTTTCTAATCCATTCATCTGCTGATGGGCACTTAGGCTGTTTCCAAATCTTAGCTATGGTGAATTGTGCTGCTATGAATATAGGGATGCATATATCCTTTCTGATTGGTGTTTCTAGCTTCTTGGGATATATTCCTAGAAGTGGGATCACTGGGTCAAATGGGAGTTCCATTTTTAGTTTTTTGAGGAAACTCCATACTGTTCTCCACAGTGGCTGCACCAGTCTGCATTTCCACCAGCAGTGCAAAAGGGTTCCTTTTTCTCCACATCCTCTCCAACATTTGTTGTTTGTTGATTTGTTAATGATAGCCATTCTGACAGGTGTGAGATGATACCGCATTGTCATTTTGATTTGCATCTCTCATATAATTAGTGACTTTGAGCATGTTTTCATATGTCATTAGGCCTTCTGTATGTCCTCTTTTGAAAAGTGTCTATTTAGGTCCTTTGCCCATTTTTTGATTGGATTGTTTATCTTCCTTTTGTTAAGTTGTATGAGTTTCCTGTAAATGCTGGAGATTAAACCCTTATCAGTGATAACATTAGCAAATATGTTCTCCCATGCAGTGGGCTTTCTTGTTGTTTTGTTGATTTTTTTTCTTTTGCTGTGCAAAAGCTTTTTATTTTGATGTAGTCCCATTTGTTTATTTTCTCTTTAGTTTCCATTGCCCTAGGAGCAGTATCAGTGAAGAAATTGCTTTGGAATATGTCTGCGATTTCGCTGCCTGTGGATTCATCTAGTATTTTTATGGTTTCCCGTCTTATGTTTAAGTCCTTTCTCCATTTTGAGCTTATTTTTGTGTATGGTGTAACTTGGTGGTCTAGTTTCATTTTTTTGCATGTATCTGTCCAATTTTCCCAACACCATTTATTGAAGAGACTGTCTTGACTCCATTGTATTCTCTTGCCTCCTTTGTCGAATATTAATTGGGCATAGTGGTTTGGGTCGATTTCTGGGTTCTCTATTCTATTCCATTGATCTATATGTCTGTTCTTGTGCCAGTACCAAGCTGTTTTAAGAACAGTGGCTTTGTAATACAGCTTGATATCTGGTATTGAGATCCCACCTACTTTGTTCTTCTTTCTCAGGATTGCTGCAGCTATTCGAGGTCTTTTTTTATTCCAGGTGAATTTTTGGAATGTTCATTCTAGATCTGTGAAATATGCTGTTGGTATTTTAATAGGGATTGCATTGAATCTATAGATTGCTTTGGGTAGTATGGACATTTTGATGATGTTGATTCTACCAACCCATGAACACTGTATGTTCTTCCATCTGCTTATGTCTTACTCAATCTCTTTTTTCAGTGTCCTGTAGTTTTTCGCATATAAGTCTTTTACCTCCTTATTAAGTTTATTCCTAGGTATCTTAATTTTTTTGGTGCGATGGTAAATGGGATTGCTTTTTTAGTTTCTCTTTCTGTAAGTTCACTATTGGTGTAAAGAAATGCCATAGATTTCTTGTCATTAATTTTGTATCTTGCTACATTGCCGAATTCATTTATTAAGTCTAATAACTTTTTTGATGGAGTCTTTAGGGTTTTCTATGTACAGTATCATGTCATCTGCAAATAAGGACATTTTTACTTCTTCTTTTCCAATTTGGATGTCTTTTATTTCTTCTTCTTGTCTGATCGCAATGGCTAGTACTTCCAGTACTATGTCGAACAGGAGTGGTGAGAGTGGGCATCCCTGTCTTGTGCCTGTTCTTAGGGGAAATGGTTTTAGTTTTTGACCATTGAGTATGATGTTGGCTGTGGGTTTGTCATATATGGCTTTTATTATGTTGAGGCATGATCCTTCTATTCCTTGCTGAGAGTTTTTATCAAGAAAGGGTGCTGGATTTTGTCAAATGCTTTTTCTGCATTAATTGATATGACTATGTGATTTTTATCTCTCAACTTGTTTATGTGAGGTATCATGTTTATTGATTTGTGGATATTGTACCATCCTTGCATCCCCGGGTTAAATCCAACTTGGTCATGGTGTATGATCTTTCTGCTGTATTGCTGGATCCGATTTGCTAGAATTTCGCTGAGTATTTTGGCATCTATGTTCATGAGGGATATTAGCCTATAATTCTCTTTCATTGTGTTATCTTTATCTGGTTTTGGTATTAGGGTGATGCTGGCTTCATAGAATGAGCTTGGAAGTGTTCCTTCCTCTTGAAATTTTTGGAATAGTCTGAGGAGGATAGGTTTTAGTTCTTCCTTGAATGTTTGGTAAAACTCCCCTGTGAAGCCGTCTGGCCCCAGGCTTTTGTTTGCTGGGAGCTTTTTGATGACTGCTTCAATTTCTTCCATAGTTATTGGCCTATTGAGATTTTTAGAATCTTCCTGATTGAGTTTTGGAAGGTTGTCTTTTTCTAGGAATATGTCCATTTCCTCCAGGTTGTCTAGTTTGTTGGAGTAGAGTTGTTCATATTTTTTTAAACAATCCTTTGAATTTCTGTGGGGTCTGTTGTTTCGCCTCTTTCATTTGTGATTTTGTTTATTTGGATCCTCTCTCTTTGCTTCTTGGTGAGTCTGGCTAGAGGTTCATCAATCTTGTTTATCCTTTCAAAGAACCAGCTCTTGGTTTCATTGATCTTTTGTATTGTTTTTTTGGTCTCTATGTCATTCATTTCTGCTCTGATCTTTATTATCTCCTTCCTTCTGCTCACTCTTGGCTTTTCTTGTTGCTCTCTTTCTAATTCTTTGACTTGTAGAGTTAGATGATTTACTATCATTTTTTCTTGTTTTTTGAGGTAGGCCTGTAGAGCTATAAACTTCCCTCTCAGGACTGCTTTAATTGTGTCCCATAGGTTTTGGATTGTTGTGTTTTCATTGTCATTAGTTTCCAGGATGTTTTTAATTTCTTCTTTGATCTCATTGGTAACCCAATCAATATTTAATAACATGCTATTCAGCTTCCAAGTGTTTGAGTATTTTGGATTGTTTTTATTGTAGTTTACTTCTAATATTATGCCATTGTGGGCTGAGAAGATGCTTGGTATGATTTCAATCTTCTTGAATTTGGGGAGACTTTGCTTGTGACTCAATATGTGGTCTATTTTTGAAAATGTCCCATGTGCACTTGAGAAGAATGTATATTCTGTGGCTTTGGGGTGAAATGTTCTGAAGATGTCAATTAAGTCCATTTGATCTAGTGAGTCATTTAGGATTGCTGTTTCTTTGCTGATTTTTTTGTCTAGAGGATTTATCCAATGATGTCAGTGGTGTGTTTAAGTCCCCTACTATGATTGTATTGTTGTCAATCTCTCCCTTGATATCTTCCAGGAGTTTTTTTTATGTATTTGGGTGCTCCTGCATTGGGTGCATATATGTTTATCAGGGTTATATCCTCTTGTTGTATCGATCCCTTTAGTATTATGAAGTGGCCTTCCTTATCTCTTGTTATGGCCTTCACTTTGAGGTCTATTTTGTCAGATATAAGTATTGCTACCCCAGCTTTTTTTTCATTTCCATTAGCCTGAAAGATATTTTTTCCATCCCTTCACTTTCAGTCTGTGTGAGTCCCTTGTTCTGAGGTGGGTCTCTCGTAGACAGCATATATATGGGTCATGTCTTTTTATCCATTCAGCCACTCGATATCTTTTGATTGGAGCATTTAGTCCATTTATGTTTAAAGTTATTATTGAAAGGTACTTGTTTGTAGTCATTTCTATTTTTGTGCCTGTGTTCTTTCTTACCTTTTTATTTCTTCTTTTTACAGCATTCCCTTTAGCATTTCTTGCATTGCTGGCTTGGTAGTGATAAACTCCCTTAGCCTTTTTTTTGTCTGTGAAGCTCCTGATTTCTCCTTCAATTTTGATTGATAATCTTGCTGGATAGAGTATTCTTGGATTCAGACCTTTGCTTTGCAACACTTTGTATACCTCCTTCCATTCCCTTCTAGCTTGATGTGTTTCTATTGAGAAATCATTTGATAATCTGATGGGGAATCCTTTGTAGGT